AAGTTAAGTTTTATTTTATCGTGAATCATACTGACTATATTGTATCTGCTCTAACACTGTATTCAGGTATTGAATACCATATATCACAGGGATTTTGTTTGTACAGAATCAGTTGTTTTTAAAGTGGGAAATGTCACATGCTTTTAATGTGTGACATTTAATATTAGTGTCATACAGAGCCTGGGAAGACTATGCCATGCTGAATCCATGCACTTTCTCAAAGTGTGAAATTTAGCTGCTTCTACAGATATGCCTGGGACAGTACAGTATGAAAGCTGGTCACACAGCAGTGTGTAAGTCTGATAGGTAACCATGAGATACATAATCCATCATCTGATAATTAAAGACCCTGCCCACTAGAAGGCATCATCTTTAGATCTTTCCAGGGAAAGTCTATGGGGAAAAAAACACACATTTGCCTTTGAAGCATAGGGAAGGAGATATTCTATGACCAAACTGGAATTACAACACTGTGTTCAAAGGGATTTGAGATACAAAATCACCTTTGACATAACAGTTGAGCACTGAATAAAGCCAAAGCACCTGAAAATGAAACATTCTGTAATGAGAAGATAATTGCCATGGACAAAATGAATTTCTGTATTAAAACACATACTGCAAGAACCATGAGAGACGGCTGCAGAGAAAGCAGCCAAACCCTACACATTTTCACATCATGATTTTGTCCAACTTTCCTGTTTGGTCTCTGCTGAGATTTGAAAAAAAACTCTCCTTTCACTTGGAAGCCAGACCTTCAGCACTCAGAGAAGTGGTGCAAATTTTCCTGGGATGCTGTGTGCATACTGCAAGTCCATGTTCTAGGCATTTGAAACAAGTTCCTCAGCTCTGCCTAAGACCCACAGAAGTGAGAACACAAAGGTTACACAGCAAATGAAGTTTTACTGACAGGCCCTCGAGGCTGTCTAAGTCTGATTTTGATTTGCTGGTCATGCACTCCACAGACGTTCAGAAGCCAGAAGGCTTCGAATCTACTGTCAGTCTATTTTGTTATTGCTCAGAAAGTAGTATCTCAGTGTTTCACCAATGGCTAAGCAAAGGCTTGATTCTTCTGTGCATGTCCATAGCAATGCTGTTCTCCATTAAGAAATGTGCAGATAGGGACCAAGGAAGGGAAAAAAGATGCAGATTTCCTAACTTGGTTTGTTGGTAGTTCTCTGGCATCAAATGCTGGTATTAAAGACCTGCAGGCTTATTGCCTCATAGGCATTCAAGGCCCTCACTCCCTTGTTACTCTTATCCTGTACAAAAAATGAGGCTTAGCTACGTCAGCCAGTCTGGCAAACACAAACCTCTACCTCGTGCTTTCCCTGCACCCCTGCAAGGCCCAGACTTTCTATCCTCCTGGTTCACATTACAGGAATTTGAGTTATTTTATTTCACCAACAGTTAATTAACAGCAAATATACACTAATGTTTTACTGATCTTGCTTATAAAGCATTTATTCAGTACTTCAGTTTATTTTGGAGCTGGGCCCAGTTAGAAGGAAGGGTTTCAGGAACAGTCCCTGATATAAATGATATAAATGTCCCAACATTTATTTGGGATCCGTAGTGAAACACACATCCATCTATTGTGAGAATCCCTTCTGGGTGTCAGCAGATCTAGCTGTAGTAATATCCCTGATTTGGCACAGAATAGACACCTGAGAACAAAGCAGATCCATGAAACTCACATGAACTCACAGCTCAACTCTGCGCTCTTTTAAAAGTCCCTGCAGAATCAGGACCCCTTACAGTTAACACTGGAGAAAACCACCACCTTTTGGGTGCATTTGAGTGTCAACTCAGTGTCAAAATGTGGGAAAAGAGAAGTAAGTTTTAATGCAACAATAATTCCCTCCTATTATACACCCCTCACACACACCTGCCTATGGAACAATGCCTAATTGGTCAATAAAGGAGAGGCAACATTTAAATGATGGTATTGAACCTCTTCAGCCTGGAGAAGCAATCCCTTTCATTAAGGCTGCTCTAATATTCCTTAATTTTATTCAGTATTACAGGTTCATTTACAGAACAGACATTCTGATTATTGAAATGACAATTCTGTATAAGAAAGAATTCACTGACACATTCAATTTTTACCCGTCTCCAAATCACTGTCAGATCAGCCTATCCTTCAGCTGCTCACACACACCCTTTCTGAAGAAGCTTCAGAAAAATTCCTTCTAATTGCTTCAAAGATACTCATACCTTAATCCTACGAGCACCTGTGAGGAACCAGAAAATGCAGCTTCTTAAAAAACAAGTTTGGTTTTTGGGTTGGTTTTTTTGTGGGTTTTTTTCTGGGTTTTGGGGATTTTTTTTTCAGAATTGTGAAGAACCTTTTCAACAAATTGGAAATTCAGAGAAAAGTGCAGTTAGAATTTTCCTCATAGAGTTTTTTATTTGCTACATTTTGACTGAGAAAAAGGTAACAAGCTGGGGCAGAGTGCACTGGCATGGCTCCCACTGTTGACTATGACATCTTTTATATACAACTTCCTAAAAACCCTTGGTGTTCAATTCCCTTCTATTTGAGAAGATTTTCCCAGCTTAAGAGTGTGTCCTTCCTTTCAAGCCACAAACAACTTCTTGACATCCAAGCATCTCCCTCCCTTTTGCCCTTTTATATAGACAAGGATGAATTGTAGATAGAACTGTTCAAAGACAAGAGACTTCAAGTGGTTGAATGCAGCACACGCTAGACACTGGGACAGGCAAATGTGTGGTTTCACCCCTTGGGCAGCACAGGGACTTGCACCAGGGCTTTCCACGTCCTTGGAGAGTGGCTAGAAAGACATAAATTTAGAACTGAATTGCTTCTGATTTCCTCTTAAAAAACCTTAATGAAAACTCCCTTGTTGAGAAAAACTTCAAAAGTTTTACATTTATCTTGAATCAAAAGCATCTTCCTTCCCATTTTTTTTTTTTCATTCATCTACCAAGCCAAAAGAGTCCATTATACATGCACCCCTAAACCCTTGCACCCTAAGGGGCCGGAGTCACCTCTTCATTTCCACTGCATTGAGTTCTCAGTCTCCATTCATCCAGTGTACAGAAGAAGGCATTTATAACAGAAATTGTTAATATTCCTAGAAAATAAAATCATATTCTAGAATTACTGCTCTCATTTGTGACCTCTTAAAACCTCACAGAGCAGGTGAGCCTGCTTAATGACTAAAATGCAAACATCTGCTTATCCCCCTCCAAAAAATGGATTAATAAAGCTGAAATTACACAGTTAATGGTGTGGGTAGTCTACCACAAAAGTGTGATCATAGTTTAGACCATTAGAGCTCACCTATTTTAATGATACTGAATCTATTACTATTGCTATTTCCTCAGCTAATTTAAGCCACCTATGATTTCATAAACAGTAACACCACGGATACATTCCCAAATTTTTGGAAGAAAAAATGAATTCAGTAAAGAAAGAAATACAGTCTTTTATGTGTAACCACTATATACAATATTGTGCTCTCTGACATAAATCTGAAAAAGGCAAAATTATCCGTAATTATATAAATAAGTTCTAGCCAAAGCAGGAAAGCTGCAGAACTGACAAGGAAGATCTTAATGCTGTGCAATGCCTTCTAAGAAACATGTCGTACAGTTTTTATGTGAAAATGAGGAGAATGCATGAATTATTTAAGAACTTGCCCATTTGTTACCCAAAACTACTTTGCCATGTAAATGAGCAGAGCTTTGAAATTTCCCAGAAAAAAAAGCATGTCCCACAATTAGATCCAAGATCAATTCTTCATTGTTCAGATTATTCATGTTAAAAATTTCCAGAGTATTAAACCAGTAACTTGATTATCACAACAGTGACTTCTTACAAAACCAAAGTACAGCTCCCTTGAAACATGTAAATCACTGTCTGCCCATAACATTTCAAAGCAGAGTTCACATTATACCAGGCCTCTGACAGAGCAATTAATAAAAGAATAATTAACTCTGAAGGCTGCAATACAGCCTTAATGGTCAGTTTGGCAGATGCATCCAGTATTTAAACTGGACCTTGGTCACCAGTACAAACGACCACAAACCACAGCACAATCTCTGATTTTAGCAGCATTCTTCAGGATCCAAATGGACTGAGGCAGCTGAGACAAGGCAGCAGGACTCAGCAGAGATGGAGAGAGAGCAAATTCTGGGCTCTGAACAGTGATGTTATTTTGCTGTGATATTTGATATTAAATTTGTCAAACAAACAAAAAAAATCATAGTTTCAGTATGGAGCTGCAGACAAGGATGAATCAAGCTTCGTTCTCTAAAGCCAAACAGTTTAAACCCAAATCATATAAAGTATCTGTAATCTCCTTTTAATTCAAAACTGGATCATTTAAGGAATATTTATTCATTCATTCTTAAAGAGTCTTGCTTTTTTATCTTCTCATTTTAGGCAGAGCTGACATCAACATCCACATGATGGAAATCACGAGCTCCAGCACATGCTTAATTTAAGGCTCATCCACAGTTCCAAAATACTTCTGAGACACGCATTTCAGTGCCTTACCAAATGAGGTCTGCTTAGATTTATGCCAAATCATAACTGTATATTAAAATAAACATTTCTTCAAAACCAGACAGAGCTGTAACTCCCCATGGCCTAATCCCATCAGAATAATTCAAACCGTGTCTAACTCTTGAATAACACAGAGCATTTGCAAAAGAGCATTACTTAACCAAAATACTCATGATTCAAGAAGTATCCAGTTCTGAAGGTTTATGGCAAATTGAGAATTTGCAAATGTTGGACTTAAAATAATAAAGTAATTAACTGAAAGCATGTATTTAATTATAGCTATTGAAAGAGGTAACTATAGTTACTAGGGAAACTAATTTTGAGACAAAGAATTATATGACATACATAATTATGAGAATAAAAATAATGAGCATATATTAACTGGAAGAATATCTCAATCCTGAGACCTAAATTTAAACATTTTTTCTTAAGCCAATCTACACATTCTTAGATTTAACACAATACCCACCTTAGAACACAGGTGTAGAAACCACTGTCTTGCAACTCAACTGAGTGAAACCATATTGAATCTTCATCCTTGCTCATCCTAACTTCAGAAAATATAATGGGCTCTTCTAAATCTCCTTTGTTTTTGTACCACATAAGCCTAAGACCTGTGCTTTGGGCCATGCTATAATTAGTTCTGATATAGCTGTAGAAAAGGGCACATTTCACTCGGACTGGTTCACCTGCCAAAGCCATGTATGTCTTGAGATCCACTGACCAGTCAATGCAACCATCAACTGAAAGCAAAACAATAATAAAGAAAGATTAGAATCAGATATATTTTTTCAAGATAGTGAAAGGCAGCTTGTGAAATACAATGCAGTTAATGAATCATAGAATCATAGAATAGTTAGGGTTGGAAAGGACCTTAAGATCATCTAGCTCCAACCCCCCTGCTGTGGGCAGGGACAAGAACCTTTGTTTTATATCAATGTGAAAAACCTGAAGCAGCTTTAAGGGTCTTACTAACTTAGCAATTAAAGGGTTTTATGTACCTTTTTTAGTTACATGTAAACACAATAAACAGCACACACTGGGCCTACTCAGTTCCATTTCTTCAGAATATCATTACTTTCATTCCCAAAACACTAATTCTTTAATAAATAAACCAAGTGTTTTCATCTTAACTACTTGCTCCTGTAAACCAATTTTGATTTTTTTCTTTGTTGGAGGAAAATATACATTGGCATCTGATCCCAGTTCTGTCCCTTAAAACTTTTCCATCCATCTTGGCTAATTATGTTAAGTAAAAAAAAAAACCAAACCAGATGAAACATTCATAATGTTCTTTTCAAAACAGTTTCACATAGCTTCTTTTTTTTTTTATTACAGCCTACTCAGACTGCAGAGACAGGTATGATACACAACAGGATACTATCACAATATGCTAACAATGCAATCAAGCTTTTACAGGAATTGTACAAATATGAAAAGGGATCTTTTGATGTTCTGTTCAGAAAAAAACTTTAAAAATTAATTGATGTCAGCCAGTTTAAGAAAAGATTACTTCTCCCTGCATTTTTTTTCTCCTGTTATTTCAAATCATCTTTGTTACAATATGATCCTAGTGCATGCGTATGTATCAACATGTAATTCCCTCTCACAGATCAGAGACTTTTTAATTCAATTATTTTTATTGCTGGAAAAACTCTAAGCCTGAAAACCAAGAATATAACCACAGAAAAAGACTGTCAAGGCAGATCACCAACAGGCAAATACACCACCTACATTTATTACACTTGATGAAATGTATAGGGTTTAGAATTTACTGATCGCATCCAGCTACATGTAAGTGGAACATCTTTACCCTTGATGCAGTTACCTCAAATTCAATCAAGCAAAGTTCAAGTTGCCTCTTCTGCATTTACAGTATCAATTCTCAAGCTCTAAGTGTAGGTATCCTCATACACTCTGCATTTCATATACACCTTGAATAGCATTCACTCATTAAGTGATTTTTTTATTTACTTCCTAAACAAATGTAGTGAGCCAAAATTTCTATACATGGCAGTGTATCAGAGCCTTCTACTCTCTGCTTTTTTCAAGCTATGCTCTTTAGGCTGGTGTGAATCCACAATTAAGGAGCAGTGCAGAGCTTACAGCTGCAACACTGAACTCTCCAGATGGTTCATTCCCGCTGTTCTCCAGGACATACAGGTATTCTCAAAGGCACCCTTCCTCCTGTGCTTCAGCAAAGTCACAAATGTCTAAGCAGGGGCATAAGCCAAAATAAATAGGAATGCTCAGAAATAGAATTTAGATCCAAACCAAATCAGCCGATCTAATTAATTCTGTCAATCTTCTGTCAATCTAATCCTGGCATGTCATCTAATGCTTTCGAACCTGTGCCGGTTCAGCAAAGTTAAACCACAGTAAAGAATAACTGACATTCAAACACACATGGGAAGCTTGTGGGTCAAGCAGAACAGTGCCAGTTTTCCATTTGTTTCACAGAGCAGTCACAATTAGGAAGAGCTACAGAGTTAGGTACTTTCCCAATACTGAAATCTAGCTATGGAAGCTGAAAATGCCTCTGCTTCCAATAAAAGCCACACCAAACAACTTGTCAAAGCACAGCTAACACTAAGCATCCTCCAGTGCTACTCAAGCCGCTTAATCTTCCACTTGCATTTGAAATTTTTTTCTCCCTTTTCTCCCAATTCTCTACTATTTTCTTTTCCAAATTACAACTGCTGGAGTATAAAAGCACAGTGGAATAGATAAAATACCTTTGAACAGTAATTTACAACCAGGTCATTAGAGTGGATAAACCCCACCTCCAGCAGGCCGGCAGTGGAGAGTGAAGCTGCGGGTACACTGTACCCCTGACCATGGCCAGCGCTCTGGTGGAGGCACCAGTATGATGCCTGGACCACAGCACAGCACCTGCACCTCAAAAGAGGTAAAGAGAGAAAAGGAGATTCACAGTACAGACCTTTTTCACATTAACAGTATCTGAATGGAAGAATTTCAGCAGCTACTGGCAAGGCTGACCCCAACCCAGCAAGCGCATCATACAGGGAAGGTGCAGGCAGGCTGCCTGTGCATCCATTGCCCCTGCCTGCACTGCTACCCTCCCTGCATCACCTCAGTCTCCATGGCATGCCAGGAGGTGGTGATTAGGGAGAGAAGAGTACATGGGCAACAGAGTAACCATTCATTATGGGGTTGATGACATCTGCGGAGGGGAGAAGTCTCAGGGAGCACCTTGACTAAATCTTAATTATTGAACAATGACTCATCAAACAGGAGATGACTTTTCCCCCTTGCTCTGTTTTTCTTGTTAAGTACACAGTCAAGAATGTTTCCTCCTATGAAGCTGTAGAGGCTAAAATCTAGGTCAAGCTCCCTGCACTCACGTAGAAGAGGAAATTTTTCCTCTTGCCGTGCTGTCAGTCACTGGAGCATGAGTATTGTTAGATTCGTTTGGAGTATTCTCCAAGCTGTCATTACAAATGACTGGAGCTGCTTAGGTAGAGTTTAGCACTCCATTATCCAGAACAAAGTTTGCTGTCATTTTTGTTGGCATGGCTCTCAATATATGATACGATCAGGGTGGTAAGAAGAAAAAAATAATGGATTACAGACACGCACTTATATAATCAATGTATATACATCTTTTCTCTGCTACCCAATAATCAGCTAAACCTTACTAACTGCTTGATCTAAAACTCATTCAACTACATCCTATCTATTGCAGGTGCACTTCAGACACTTTCAAGAAATACACCTATTTGAAATATTTCCTAAAATTTGGAGCATTGAGAGGATATGGAAAACATTGTCCCATTTTTAGCCCGTCCTCTAAAGGAAACGAGGTTTGCCTATCTATCTGTCAGTCCCTGCGTCCCTCCTGACCCAACTGACTACATTGAATCCTATTTTGTAGAACATGAAAGTGTTCGGGTACACAAAAACCCTACATGGGTGCAGGGGGGTCCCTGAAGGCAGGGAAACACACGAGCAGTTCACCATGATGAAGCCTCACTGGGCCCATCCCTACTATCTATCCAGGCTAATGAAACCTCAGGAGACACTGAACTGAAAATGAAGCTTTCAAAATTATGAAGCAAATTACAGATTAAGTCGTCTGACAATGAGGTAATGTACTTTTATGTTAGCAGTCACCGAGAGCGTGCACTGCAGCTCCTTCCCTGTTTCCTGATAATTTCCCATTATTCTTATTTTAAATAAATCTAGCTGTCTAGGGAGTCTAGATGCATTTTAACATGAACCACAATAATTTATGAGCAATTACAGAAGAGCACGTACATAGTCTCCAAGTAATTTGTCTTTCTGCTTGCTGTCACATAAATAATTTTTTGCATTGCGAATCTGCCTGTAATAATTTTTGTAGGGATCTGTCACCTACAGCAATTTATATGATGGCACTGTTGAACATGTTTGCCTACCTTGTTACCTGAAAATCTCCTTTCAAATTGAAAACATCTACAAATAAATAATTAAAAATATAATACACTAGCTAATACATTAGATCTACTGCTCCACAAAGCAAGCAGTGCTTGTGACTGTAAATACATGGTCAGAAAAAGAAATAACAACTCTGAAACAGGAGCTCTGTTTTCATTTATATGTTAGCCACAGAATAAAAGAGTCCAGGAACTGATACCCATCATGCTTGGGGTTGCAGAGACGTAGCAATGATAGATGCACTACATTAAGGAAGTCCAAAAAGGGATGCAAATCTTTTAGACTCTTAAAGGGGAGAAATCAGTTACAGCCCATGAATTTTTGTCAATTTGGTATTTTCAGATCTTGATTGTGCAGCAAAGGGAGCACACCCTACATCTGAACAAACACAGTAATGCCTTTAATAGCTTTGGTAGGACATCACCTTCACAGAGGGTCAGGGTGTTAGATCAGGCTCACCGTTCATAATCAGTTTCACGTCTCTGGCTTTCTGGCTGTGCTATGCTAATTCTGCTGCGGTGCTTGCAGACCTCTGCCAGCATCTCATCACAGCCCAGTGCTGCCATATGAGACCTGTCTGTCAGCTGAGCCCAGCACATGGGCCCCAGCCACCCAGCCTCCTCCCAGAGCCCTTCTTTGCTTCTCATACCGCGACCCGAGGTGGGGAGCAGAGCTGCCTAAAAACTGACAGCAACCACCACCTCCCACCCCAGTCTGTGATGCATTAAATACTCCAGTATTCAGAGACACATCTAGGGGTCAGAGAACACCTTTCAAACAAAGCAATGTACTCACCGCTCTGTGCGCAATTCAATCATGGATGCCACCTCCAAAGCAAGGCAAGATCTCTGCTTGTAGAGCTCCTCAGCTGAGCTGGATTGTCAAAGGACAATCTTTGATCAATTAATAAGAACCCACTCTACCAAAAGACACCTGAGCAGGTATCTCTGACATGTAGAGCAAGTTCCCCAGTTTTACAGGGGAGAGGGAGAAGCCTATGCTGGTGATACTTTAGAAGGGCGTGCAGGGTGGCCTTCTCTGTGCCAAGTGAACAGTATTTTTTAACCATGCTCGTATTTCAAACTGCATTTTAGAAAAAAATCAAATAGTTGTCCCCTGAGAGATACAGCAAATCCAGAAATTGTATGTTAGAGATGACGATCATTTATAAAACCTCCTTTGATCTTGAGAAAAAGAACAAGAAGTTTATCATGATTCAAGCTGGGTGAAGTTTGCAATAGATCTCCTGCTACCCTGTTAACAATTTGAACTGAATAATTCATTTCTATCAGAGTAACATGAAGAT